GCCGACCTTCAGTTACATCAAATGGTATCCATCATTCGATGCACGAAGTTTTCACCAGTAACGCGTTATCCATTACGTGGAACATTATTTTGTCCAGTGTCATCAGTGGTAACAGTCATTTCGGCGCCATTAGTCGCCGAATACCTACACACCCTGCAAGAGTGGCCCAAACAGACAGACACGTAGCCTCAAACGTCTAACGAAATGACGTAATCACGATCCAGGTCTGCTCGGTTGAAATCCTCTCGGCCCAGTCGTGTAGTTTACGTGTTACCCGGTTGCGACTCGGTACGCGTTCTGATCTCGTGTGGTGAAATCACTCGGCGCGCNTTACATCTGTATTACGACACACCAAATAATGTGTGTACCCCTTCTTTGTTTTGGTTTTGGGCTTCCATTCATAGAATATTAAGTGTTTACAATAGATGTTTACACCATTTTAATCATTTGTATTTGTTTTTTAATTATCATGTAATTTGTTTGCTCCGGATGCACTGAACATCCGTCAGGTTTTGTTGCACGACGAATTAAACCACTTTACATAAAGTACTATGTGTTAATTTGAGTATTGTTTTTAATATACAACAATTTTTTTTTACTATTTTATACCCTATAATGACTGAAATTTTTTTTTGTAATTTCGTATTATTCACATCGCATTGCGTGCCACGAATTAAACTTTTTCGGCATAAATTATTTTTTATCATTCGATTATTGATCCATACTTTAGTAACATAGAAGTAGAAACATATAAAGTTTTTCCTTTCAATGGAAAATTCTTGAATAACTAAAAATAACAAACGGAAAACGTGCATGCAGAATATGATTTGCTAGATGTTCCTGATGATGCCAAGAACCTCAAGACATTGAGGAAAAAGTAAGTGAGTACTTACACAATGAATAGCTGACAGTTTTCTAGAACATGTGAGTAGTAAGGAGACTCCATTATAATTTTTGAAAACACTTACTGGATCATTCGAACGAATATGATAAAAAGTAACTTGTTTTCTATTGGACGCCTTTTGTCAATGGAATTTAACGAAGAACAGAAACTTATGTCTTACTTTCTCACTTTTTACAATCATAAGGATCTCGATGAAAGTCAGTCAATCCAACTATTATTTATTTTTCTTCCCATTAAGTCTACCGAAATTATACGATAATCTTATCACTGCTTTTGAAACGTTGAGTAATGAATAGTTGAAAAACGATCAATTTTTTTAAAAACAAAGTAGGCAAGGGAATGAAACAATTGAGTACAAAATCAAAATAAGAACTCAATTTCACTACTACCTTCTCCAGTTATGAGAACTGAACCTGCAAGTTTATGGCACGGAAGTTATGGTCACACGAGCACACCCAATCTTTTTCGATTTCTAACTTAATAAATGATCAATGGGATAAATGCAATAGATATTTTAACTTTACGGGTTAATTTTTAAGTATTTTTGTTCGATATGATCCGTGTGTATACAATTGTAAGACCAAACAGAAATGCTAGAAAATTTAACGGGATGTTTAGTAAAAGTCGTATTTGGTGGTCAACAAATTTACAAATTATAAAATCTATTATTTTCCAGTATTAAATTTTTCGTCCTTTCTTAACATGTAAGATCAAGCTCTTCTCGAGAACTTTTTTTTTTAACAAAGATTAATCGTTGCGTACCGGTATGCATTAAATTATCCTCTACCTTCCCAACTAAACTACAACAGTGTTCCGCCTATCATTCTAAGTATTTCCGAAGAAGATTCAGTGAATATCACTGATATTCAACGAACTAATTTATTGCATTTAAAGCACTTATCAATTACATTAAATAGGCATTTCTCAAAGACATTTGTAATTATTTCAAGGGTATGGAAATCCTTTCGCTGTTTCATTTAAAGAGTTAAACTCCAATACGCTTCTTGAAATTCAGACTGTTGAAATTTCTTGTAATAAAACCAATATTAATTTTTGGTTTGCAGTATATAATGAATATCCAGGATTGTCCTTAAATGTGATAAAAAAAAAAAAAAAAACTATTCATTTTTTCTATTAGTTATTCAAATGATAAATTCTTTGCAAACAATGACCCATATTAAAACGAAACAATGAAACAGATTAGATGACACACATTGCATGTGCATCAGTTAATTTAAAAATTGTACCTCAGTGGGAAATATCATGCTAACAACAATCGAAACCAGCTGTCACTCTTAATCTCATTGAAATTATATTATCATCATATTATATAAGTTTTTTGTGTTTTATTATTAACTACTCATATATTTTTTTTGGTTGTGCATGCACAAACAACAAAATAAAACCAAAATATATAGTTAAGTCATGTTATTATTACCACTATTATTGAGATTATCAATCTTATATTGTAAATACCATTTAATGTAAAAAAGCTATTTAATTGTTTTTTTTTTTGTTTCTTACTTGATTAATCGAAGTTATGATAACGATAATATACTGAGATAAATATGATTTGAGATTATTCTAAAACGTCTAATATAATTAAATACAAATACATTTTAACAAAGGAAGATGACATTTAAATCGTACTAAATATCCGTTAAATATAGTTAACAATACCAGACGGATTTCCAATGCATCCGAAACAAAATGATACATGTTTATGAAAAAACAAATACAAAGGACGATCATGTTGTGTACATCTTATGTAAAAATTTATATTATAACACTTGAAATGCAAATCAAAAACAACGTAGAAGAATACATATTTTTGGGTTAGACATAATACAAATAGAAGGTATTACAGGTATGAAACAACCGAATTCGTGCAGATTAGTTGACACCGCAGTTAATGGTCAGGAATTGAGTACCGGCTTAATGGGGCACAACACCGATGTGAGCCGTATGTTCATTTGTCAAGATGTGTGAACGCACGATCCAGACCTTTAAACAAATCAAAGACCTTAATGCAGCTTCCTAAAAACCGCCAAAATGTTAAGCGCTAGATAGAATAATGTTCCACGTAAAGGATAACGCGTTACAGGTGAAAACGTCTTGCGTCGAATGATGGATACCAATTGACGGAGCGGACGGTCGGCGTCGATAAAGTTGAAGCCGCAGTGCGAGTAGACGTCGATAGGTTCAATTGGACCCACCTTTACACTTACGCGAACAAACACGGAGACAATCTTGTACATCCATTTATATATCGTGATAAGGAACGATGTAAGACACAATATAATACATTTACAATTCAATAGTGATTATAAGATTACAATAACAAAAACTAGAAAAGCATTCAATTAAAATTACAAACATTTAAAAAAAATATCATCACGTAGTATTATTACAAAAGAAAAGACACTTTTTAATATTTTCCTGGTAATAGGAAATATGAAGCTTTAAACATTGGTAGGGAACTTGGTATCTAAGGATACATTGAATTAATACCGGGAAAGTTCGAGGTTTGCGAGACCTNATTTTTACAAAGGAAAAGACAATTTTTAATATTTTAACGGTAATAGGAAATATGGAGCCATAAACATTGGTAGGGAACTTGGTATCTAAGGATACATTGAATTAATACCGGGAAAGTTCGAGGTTTGCGAGACCTATCCCACCAACACCTGTCAATAACCGCGTATCAAAATACTCCGATTAAGATTCCAGGAGATTAGTTTTTGTCATCGATATTGGATTGCATATTGTCAATTACATTATCGGACAGGGGTTCGTGGTTGTTTGTACCTTCGGTGGGATTGGGTTTTATGATTTTAGGTGGTAAATTTTTTTCGGCCAAATTGGGTNTACATTGAATTAATACCAGGAAAGTTCGAGGTTTGCGAGACCTATCCCACCAACATCCGTCAATAACCGCGTATCAAAATACTCCGATTAAGATTCCAGGAGATTAGTTTTTTTCATCGATATCAGATTGCATATTATCAATTACATTATCGGACAGGGGTTCGTGGATGTTTGTACTTTCGGTGAGATTGGGTATAAGTTTTAAGATTTCAAGTTATAGGTTTATTTCGGCCAAAGTGGGTTGTAAACTACCGGTAGCGTTATTCGTATAGAAGAAATCTTTTGAGGTTCGGATATCTGGGGGAGGTACATGGAGCATTATGTGTTTTAAGATTTTGACGGCCATGTGGGATTGTGTGTTCTCGGGGGCGGTATCGGGAATGGATTCGTAAAATGNGTGCTGGCAGCACAGTCACCTGCTATGAACCTCGTCTCTAGATTCTGCCGGTCGTTGACTGGTCCGGCGGAGAAGTGTCGAGTCACAGACGACACAATGATATATGTGAGCGGCCGTTCTGGACGGTACTCCACGATGAAAACTTGCGTGAACGACTCTCCGTTCACGGTGACCATCAAACGGTCAAGCGATCCTCCACACGGTACCGTAATAATCGAGTTAACGATTAACCTTGTGTCGGATATTGGTCGCAACAAAGCTTTTTTCGCTTCCACCCGGGTTCTGGCCCAGACGACGGTCCCGTTTTCGAATACTGTCTGATACTCGCCGAAATCGTCGTAAAACTGATCTATGCATCCCGGTAGCGTACGCAATACCGCGTAGTAATGTTCCGCGTATTTGTAACCGATGCTAGCCGCGTTCTCGNAACGATTAACCTCGAGTCGGATATGGGTTGCGTCAAAGCCTTTATTGCCTCCTGCCGGGTTCTGGCCCAGAAGACGGTTCCGTTTTCGAATACCGTCTTATACTCGCCGAAATCGTCGTAAAACTGATCTATGCATCCCGGTAGCGTACGCAATACCGCGTAGTAATGTTCCGCGTATTTGTAACCGATGCTAGCCGCGTTCTCGGTGATCGTGTCAGCCATCGTAACGTTTCCGAAAAAATTACTGCTTTGTTGGGTATTGAAGAAAATGATTACGAATCTGTGTAAAAAAAATATTATTTTCTTTTTCACAATCGTTTATTTTCATTGTCGAATAATATATTTCGGTTTTCAGATACAATAATATGATTATAATTGAAACACGGTCGATGTTGGTTAGTAACGAAATTGATATTGGCCATCTATTAATTTGTTTTTGTTTTGGTGACGTTAGACCGCGGTTTCGATAGTCATTCGCTTTGAGGTGTGTTCGGGGATTTTTAGCGGGAGGGGTCCTGGCAAAAAATAAATAAATTGTATAATCGTCATTTTTGTGAGACTCGACTACGGGAGTTATTTTTAATTAAAAGTCCAAAAAAAAAAAAAAAACAAAAACAATTTACTTATAATCAAACTCTAACTCGTATTTAGGCTGAATTATATGCGTTTTGATAATGTATTACTGTTCGTACCTAGGTAATCTTTAAAAATTACACTGTAAATTAAACTGTTTACTTACAGAAAAACACACATCGTGTAATAATATACTAAAACCAGTACAATACTGTGTACGTTCAGAATCCAAAAGGTTTTATCATAAGTAATAAAATCAGCTTTACCTATTATGTTTTTATATACTTACTTGATCTATGAATTCGTCTTCCACTCAACTATGTAATCACGTTAAAATAGGTCAAAGACAAAGCTTAATTATTTTCAATATCCGTTAATAATGTAATATTTACGTTCCATGTGAATTTGTTCGTGTTATAATATATATATATATTTTTTTATTTTGCTCGTAGTCATTTTTAACGTTTTACTTACCGAATTCGTGACCGTATCGCAATCACGCGTGACTGCTGCGGTGTTCCCGGCGAGTGTAAACACGGCGGTGTTATTATTACGACGTAAATGCGTTGATGGAAAACAAGCCTTTTAATAGATTAGATCACCGGCGCATAATATTGTGTTCCGTGTCTTCCGTTTCACAACATACATTAAATATAATAATATTGTTGTTTTATATATACGTGTATACGCACTTTCGGTTATGACGTTCTCCCCCCGAAGCCCGTTGTCGAATGTTGGTGTGATCGGTTTTTACTCATCGCGTAATATTGGACACGACAAACAGCTCGTTTTAAACCGTCACCATCGTTTACCTTTACTATTAATTCGGGACTACACTATTATCCGATCATATTTCTAATTACAAAACGCGGTACTGGATTTTAGGTACCCGTTACGGTCCCGTATCCAAAGGGCCGATGGGCCGCAGTCTCCCCCGGAATTCGGAAAATCTTAAATTATTGTTTTAAATATAGTGAAGTACAATAAAGTTGATTGTGTTATGAGACTGTTTAGGGTTCCCGTTAACCTACGACAATGATTACCGTTTTCGTTCATATCGTTCATATAGATTACACATGACATGTTTACGATTTCGCAAACTAAAGTCGCGGTATGCAGTACCGGTACTATGCAGACTTGTCATTGAGTTTAGAGTTGTTGAAAAAAGAAACGTGCTTAACGAATTACCACCAGGTTAACCAGCCGATAACCACGGTGTGTATTATGGAAATTTCCCGCATAAAACTAACTTCAAAATCACAACAAAATCACTATATTTCGCCGTCAAGTTATTATTATGTTTACAAAAAATAATATCGTTTTCTATATAATGTAGACGGCTATTGAATCGGTTATTTCGGGTAAGACAGTTATTCTTTCGTGTATTGTAATATTTTAGATTCTTGTGTAGCGAAGAATGTATTGGTTTTACAAACATGATTTTTTTTTTTTTTTTTTAAAAACACTTTTTTTCCAGAAAGTTTACCTCGATATATACGATGTAGATCTTTTTCCGAAAGGAAACTTTCTCGGGGTGGTACTTTAAGGAGGTAATTTTTCGATTTTCCCAGCAAATATAAAAAAACCGGGAAAATCTGTACAATATTACATAAAAATTATCAAAGAAAATATACTATTTAATTATTTTATCTTAATATGACACACATATTGTCGACAAAGCATCACTATCAATTGAACTTGTTTTTATTAAGCAATGGTTTATCGTTGCTACATATACAAATTTATTTCTCCTCTATATCCTATACCCTCCCGACTTCTCATTAACAAACAGTGGCCGCACCCGTCGTGTGTGAAGTGTGCACGTCCTTTTTTTAATATGATTTTTTAAAAAATATTATTTACATAATAATATTATATTAATAAACAAATCGTTGTATTAATAGAGTTATATTTTAAGAGGATGCGGCGATTTTCAGTCTTTACCTTGCGCACGTATAACATAGAAAATTAGACGTGTTCTGGATAGAATTTTGAAAGCGAATTTAAATTTCTCGTCGAGTCTACTCGATAGATCGACTTTCCCGCCACTGTCCCGATTATTTTCATTTTGATTTCTCCAAAAACGAATGTATTCCGTTTTATTTTCATTACCCGGTCATTTTATGAGGAGGATGAAAATCGAAAACGAGAGTGAGTCGACTCCGCGTATGGACGTGACCGCGAATCCGAATCCGTTTTCAGAATAATATTCTTATCGCTTCGCCAGACCCGCATTTATCGGTGCGAAACCGTACGTTGCCGAACCGAACGCGTCTCAACATTCCCACGAAACGAGGACGGACCGATCGCCGCTTCTCCCCGACCACCGCGGCGTACCTAATATTTTACACGGATATTTTAATTTTAATTTTTTTTTTTTTCTCTATCCGTCCGTTTTCGACGCGTTACGAAACGTCCGTGTTTGTTTTAGCAACGTAACGATACCGTAAATACGAAATATTATAACATTGCGCGCGCGCGGTTTTTTTCTCGGGCGAATAACGACTTCGTGCGCGCGTGCGCCACCTACCCACCCGTGTACCGTTTGTATAAAAACGAGAGAATTACAAACCGATAACATCAGCGCCGGCCGCATAATAATAATAATACCACCACGTATCCGCTCGTATAATACGATCGCGCAGACGAGCCGCGTGTATTATTATTGTTGTTCGGAGATACCCCCGGAGCAACGGAGATGCGTATTGATTTAAAAGGTCGAACGGTGCCCACGACGATGACGACGACGACGACGACCGCGAACGATAATGCGTTTGCAGTTGATTTCCCGTGGTAATAAATTATTCCGCGGCCGGTCTCGGCCAGCGGTGAGGGGCGGGCGCGTGTGTGTGTGTGTGTGTGTTTGCCTAATTTCACGTATCGCGTCGCCACTACGTAACAAAGGTCAGCGCGTTTCGTCGACAGTAATAAAACACGATCGCGCAAATGTCGTCAACTTTTCCCGTACGGCCGAAAAATAATATTATCACAATGTGGGACGTTTCAAGGATTTTAAGCGAATTCGATTTATTTATTTTTTTTTTTCCGTTCTCTAATCATTGTGAAGATTTTAAATGCGTTTTTACTTTTCACCCCTACTTAACGCGTATACTTAAATGCTCCGTGTAAATGTATACTTACCCTTAATGTCGGCGGTCAGTCATCCGTGACCGATTCGGTTAAGCAATGTCGATAGTACCCAGTCAGTATACTGGTAAGGTGTTAAAATTAATATTCAACGCGGGAAATATTTAATTTATTTTTTTTAATCTCATTAGTTATCAATTATCATAATGGCTTTTTCCGTAATGTCGCTACACTTATTTTTGAGATCAGACACCACGGCGAATAGCGATGTGAAAATATCATGTATTGAGAATATCACATAAACCCTTGTTAATTATAGGACATCCGGTGTTATCTTTTACACTTCTTAATAAGACGACTTTTTTCCTGCACTTATTGATTTCATGTCGCATGTACAAAAGTCTTTATAATCATCGGAATTTATCTTTGAACCGGGCTTAATTATTTTAGAATTTCCGACTTCTTCCAGTCGTCTATTGTATTCTTCAACGCTCAAAAAAAAATTTATTATTCACGGTTTTTAATCAATAAAGAATTGATATTTTTATTAAACTGTTAAATTCATTATTAATACGTTATTAAAATTATGTTATTATTAACAATTATTACGATTTACAACGAAACAGTACGTACACACAAACCGAAAATCCTTCACTAAAAGTGTGAAATGCAATATTTATTTCGTTAAAACATAAAATAAGATATACACAATAAAGATAAGATAAAAAATAAATTTCGCGATTTTACGAGCGAGAAATCGATAACCAGCTTAGGAAACACCGATAAATGGCAATACTAAACGTCAGTATCTGAAATCCGATTTTTTACGATGACTGGTTTGCACCATCGATGTACTGACATCGCCTAGTCATTACCTAATTTTCCCGAATTTCCCGTATTGACGGTACCTAACATGTATATTTTTGATTTTCAAATTCTTCTAGGGAAAAGCCATTAATTACGTATTTATTTTTAAATGATAAATTGAAAACTCTTTCCTACACTTCCGGTCTTAACTATAAACTGTTATTTATCTTCTCTCTATGTATGCTATAAAAACGAATGTATGCCTGTTTGCCATTTATGTTTTACTACACTATTCATCCGATAGCCATGAAACTTTGGAAAGTTGTTCCACGTTTTCCGGACAAGGTTTATAGCTATTGAGATCCACCCACTATTGAATGCCATTCTTTAAATTTCAATTTTTAGATATTTTTCAGTATGAAAATCGAATCGTTGATTTATGGGTTACCTTGGTATCACGGTTGAACAATAAGAGGTGGGGTTTCGATGAAAAACAAGTATTAATATACATTAGCCACCTAATTTAAAAATAAAACAAAATTCTAAAATAAAAATGGCAAAACAACATTTTTAATTTTTCTTTTGTGTATTATCAAAAAAAAAAAAATTTAAGCTTACTCGGTTGACTTTTAAACGTCTCGTAATGAATATCCACATGTAAATCCGTTTCCCGGTAATAATATAATTACTCGGTTTCATCGCGATTAAGTTAACACGTTATGACTATGCTGTGAGCCAGTGGCGTCATTTCAATT